ATAATGTAATTTCTACCATAAGATCACTTATAGACTACGCAGCACCTGTCCTCTCTTGTACTGGTGAAGGAAGGCTACGGAAGCTTGAGGTTATGCAAAATGAAGCAATGAGAATAGTTTTAGGATGTCAAAAGAATGCAATGATTAAGATAATTAAAATGGAACTAGGGTTACAGAGCATTTCACGGAGTGTCAGTGAAATTAATAAAGTTACAGCAGCGCGATTAATGATAGGGAGTAGTGGGGGTAAATTTGTACAAGATATAAATGATGGCTTAAAATATAAAAGGACCTTATGCAGGCAAGGCAAGAGAGGATACATGAATGCATTAGTAAATATTATTAAAAAAAGTAATCTGGCAGATTGGTGTACAGCTGTTCAGAAGAGTTGTAAGGATCCACCCTGGGAAGAACGAGAAGTAGAGTTAGACATAGTGCCTCTCACAATGAAGAAATCATTACATGAACCAGGACAGTTAAGGGCTTTATATGGGAATACCATAAGTAATTTGCCTAAAATAAACACCTTGCATGTATATTGTGACGGTTCAGTTGTGTCAAGTGGCAGGGCAGGGTGTGGGATCTTTATTGGACAGTACACAGAACAAGGTACTGATGACCCACAAATTGGACTTCTATTGAGCAATTTTCTATAATCAACACAAGCTGAGTTATATGCAGTGTTAGTAGGATTGGAAAATGTAGTAAAGAGAAATAAAGATGCATATCTTTTTATTGATAGTAGGGCAGCTTTGGATTCTTTTAACGGTGGGAGTTCTGTCTTTGAACACATTATTGGTTCATGTAGAAAATTAGTAAATACAATCAGGAAAAAAGTCCACATGTAGGCATTGGTCTTGAACCAGTAGATATAGTAGCAAAAAGAGCCACGGAAAAGGCCGAGATCGACATAATATGTATTAAAACTTTGAAACAATTAATGAGTAAATTACGGAAAACACAATCAATAGAAGATAATTTAAACAAGAATGAAATATATGAAAAAAGTGAAACAATGAAACATTACCATCACGTCACACTACATAACACTTTTCGCACTGCGCAAAACAACCGACCAGAGGGTCCAGGCAGAAAGTCCGGATATGTTATCCAAATTATTGTTTAAGTCCAGCAACTATAAATTTCACAAGCGACGCTGAGCTAACAACTGGGTCCTACTGTAGTTATCTGCACTAGTTTCATCAGAATTGGAAATTGTAGGGAGCGCTCACTCCAGCCTTTGTTGACGTTGCACGGTGTGCATGTCGTATATGTCATCACTGTTAGGAATTCTTATAGTTTTGTCTTCATATTCCTCCCAAAAAAATTCAAAAACAGTGTTTTCCCCATACTTTAACAGCAGCTTATTTTTTCTTAATAATTGAAAGCCAACTATTTGTTCATGTTTTACATACATTTCCATATTCAGGCATACCTCAAAACAACAGCCCGATAGAGTCTTTTCTTCTTAAAGGGTATGTACGTCCCATTTCAGCTGTGTTATTATGTCACCTGCATATGGTCTTCTCGGTACTTGGAAAAAATGACACCGGAAAAAATATTACATGAAAAAATGGCACTGGAAAAATAGCACAGGAAAAGTGGCACAATTTTCATACTAGGAAAACAGGCACAACACAGGTTAGGTTACACAATTTTAGCGAAAACATGTCAATAGATATTAATGTGACCACTGTTTCCTAGTCTGATGATTATACCTTTTTTCCAGTGGCATTTTTTTCCAATTGCCATTTTTTCCTGTGCCATTTTTTCCAGCATTCGGCTTTTTCGGTCTGGTGAAGTAGAAGGTCAATGCCACAAGTTTTCCGACAAAACCTGGTAAAGTCCACCACCACCAGAAATAATTTTTACACTTACTCATGCACTATGACTTTGTGGACTTTGCAACACATTTTGGGGCAGTCAAAGACAGCTCCAACAGCTGTATTTCCAGGAAAAAAGAGAGCTTTACGAATGTCTGTTGTTTTGACTTCCGTTTTCTATCTCTCTCCCAAGGCAAGTATCTGACGAGGTACTTCTCTTGTTGAAAATTATGTAACTGTCCGGACGTTAACAACCTTCAACATTATTGCTTTGACTCTTCTCATTATAGGGGACCTCATACCAAAAGAACCACTAACCACTATGTCACCACCTACTTATTCAGTAATTTTTTCTTCGTCTTCATATATAATGAAGCTAATGTAGAGTATAAAATGCCATATACAATATTTATACATAGTGTCATCTATACAGCCGTACTATGACTGTGTGTGTTAGTGCGTGTGTTGCCTCGTGATAGTTAGAGTGGGCCCCCGTCCAGAAAGGACACTTCTAACCTCCAGCACCGACCCAGGTGGGCTAGAGAATATGCTTTCCGAGTGTACCTGCTGTAAATCAAAAGTTGTGAATTCTTATTCAGGGACAAGTTGTTGGAGCTTCCAAGAACTTGCTTAGACAAAAAAACTCTTCAGGCTTCTACGCCCTTGACTCATCGGACATAAGGCAGGCATGAACTTAGCATGCTTCCCTGTTGGGCGCTGCAAACGCTTCTGCGCATCACCTTACACAAGGATGTAGAGGGGTGCCCAATAAAAAAGAAAAAAAAACTCTGGGAGCACTTGTATGAGCTGGCAGGTGTGGCCTCGACACCGGGCGTCCACGTCACCAAACAGCGAAATGCTTGTTACATTAATTTTCCTCTACTCGTTTTGAAAGGGTAAAGTCTTATATTTAAAAGATGTAGAAAATATATATGTCTCATCTTAGAACTTTTCTGAAGGACAAAATTCACACTTTGTTTTGATATAATACATAAGTATCAAACAAGGATTTTGTTTCCTTTCAATAACGTATAATGTCGTCCATTTCAAACATCAAATATTGCCTGTTTAATACCAATATATATATATATATATAGATATATATATATATATATATATATATATATATATATATATATATATATATATATATAATATATATATATATATATATATATATATATATATATATATATATATATATATATATATATATATATATATATATATATATATATATATTTATGTGTGTGTGTGTGTGTGTCCTTCCCAAGAGAAACGAAAAAAACTTTCTTGATATTACACGGTATGGAATTTTAAGCCCTATCGTTCGATATCTCCGGTTATATAAGAGACATGGTTTTAAGAATTAAATATTAAACATGAATGTGTTTCCATGCTAAATAAAAAATACGGTGTATATCAGAGCATTAAGGCGTTGTGTTTAGTTCGTATTACATGAACAACACTAAAAACAGCCTAACAGCCTTGTTCATCGCACCGTTTGGTGTTTAAATTCAGAGCGAATGATTTTTTTCTTTAATTCTCTGATATTCTGAGCAGAAATAACACACTTACAGGGTCAGTTGATAAACCAAAACATTTTCTTGACATAGATTTCATTTCACCTAACTTCCTCGCATCATGATTTAGATAACCAATAGATAAATGCAGTTTTATTATTACCAAACTTGTCTCTTGATAATACAGGTTGCTAGTCATATATTCATAATGCCTTATATATTGTCTTCCTTAAACCGTGGTGATGTCATGATGTATATATAAGCAATAATGTGATCATCAGTTAGTGACTATACGATACTTAAATGAAATCGGGTGCATTATTTTTTAACAAATCAGATTTTGGTTACAATAAATTATACAGTTTTTCTATAGTCTTTTATTTTTTTCATGAAAATGTACCTGATTGTAATGTATTTAAAATTTCGTTCACTTATGGAGTTACTTTAGGAATACATTCACCTTTTGTTAGGTTCAAGTTTTGATCACACGGTTGGGAGAGCTCAGGTGTTGTTATTGTTATGTTATCACGGCGCTTCAGCAACTAAGGTCTTTAAGCGCGTTTAGTAATTACACTATTTCAACAACATTTACAAAATTATGAAAGTCTCTAGTAAAGCTCAGTCTCGTCGATACCATGTTGTTTCCTTCCCAGTATGTGTGCAGTAAGAGAAGGGTTTGTTTAAGTGTTTGTACTGTCACCAGTGTTATTGTATGAGGTTACCTGCTTCGATAAAATAATTTATTCTCCTTTTTCTGGATATTTTTCACTAAGAATGTTAGTTGCTTGTTGACTGTTATTGTTGCAGTGATGCACGAATGATCACTTACTTACCCTCTCTACAAGGGTTACAGTAGTCTGTTAATTACAGCAAAAGTTAGGAATAGAATTGCTATCTTTTATTGTTAGCCTCCATTACATTCATCAGTAATGTTTATTATTAATAGTCATTATGCCCTCAGCAATGATGTTATGTGATACACCGTAAATTAGGGAAGGAAGCATACAAATACCCGAGAACATCAATTACGTATATCATTTTCAATATTCTCATATTTATTATATGTGAACATTCCAAACGGAAAAAACGAGGTTAACAACACCTAAACTTGATGAAATTACATTCATTATGTTCCAAGATGATTCTGATATATATATATATATATATATATATATATATATATATATATATATATATATATATATATATATATATATATATATATATATATATATATATAATAGGATTAGACTATTCTATAACTACGCAAAACTTATATTAGTGTCAAAACTAAAGACAAAAATGCATGCTGGGAAAGGAAACTGCAGAGAATATACTTGTACAAAGTGTTATTAACGTGGCTATTTATTGATAATAAACAACAAACTCAATGAAAAGATATAAAAGTTACTCTGCGTTATATTATCGGCTAATATTTCATTCAAAATACTTCAGCCTAGTAAAATGAAATCATAAGTTACGGACAACACTGAAAATATAATACATTTACATTAGTGAGGCTGTCATTACCCAAACGATTGTTAACATCAAAGGAAATTGTACTGCAGTCGTTGTGTTGTTACAGTCTGGGATTCTTTCTCGTATCAGAGGTGACAAGGTCGGCCTGGTGAGGCGGAAGAAGTCAGTATAGTGTGAGCGGGTGATCTAGTCATTCACTTTGTTTCTGCTACATTTGTTCGGCAAGTGTTATTATTTTCTCATATTTTTTTTATATGTTGTTCTAATTCTTTTTTAGTAGCGCTTTTGGATATGATTTTTTGTAATATTTGTGGTTGTTTTTTTCGGGTTTGTGTTGTCGTTTTTTAATTTTAACGTTTATATTATAAACTTAAACTATCAAATGTCTTGATTGGTATTGGAAAAACTTAAGACAATTCTTCTGTTGATGCAATACTATGATTTATTACTTTATCTTAAGATTTTGTATTATTTTAAATATGGAACTATATAAAGAAACTTCTTGGTTTCGGAAACTTAGTATTAACGTATTAAAAAGTCAATGCTTTAAAGATTCGTTTAAACCCATTGATCTCGCACTCTTGGTGCTTACTTAAAGAATGACAAACAATCTTGGTAAAATTGTAAGTACCAAAACCACATTCCTCGCCACTAAACAATATTGATTTGTCCAATGATGGTTCACACCACAACTCGTTAAGATTCTTGAGGCTTTAGAACATGCAGTAAATGACGTCTTCTTTAATTTACGTCTACACGCCTTAACCTGTAAATTTCATTTAGAGATTCGAACTATGTGGTCAGAACTGTAAACTAATATAATTTCAATGCACCTATTTTATACCAATTTATTGGCGACTTTGAACAAACTTGCAATAACATGAAAGCTATAAATTCACTTGCTTATCTTGGTGATCGTATTTTCGACTAAGATGGTATTTAAAAAATGGTTATCTAGAACACCTAATGCAGTTATAACGCTCTTTGAATAATCTCCGGCTTGTTGAGTACTGTATTGACTAGGTGCAAATTCCGTGAACATGCCAATTTTGGTTCAAGATAAAATTTAATTTTTACATTCTTCATTAAACATGGTGTACATTTTAATTGCTCATCAATTAATTGCATATTAACTATCTATATTTATGTAGTTTGTGCTTATTGGTGAAATGATAAACCATTACTGTAAATATATGGTCTAAAATTACGTGCACTTTAACAAAAAAGGGCATTGGTCTCCGTTTTCGTTTCTCAGATTCCTGCCTGAAAATGTCGTCTCTGGTCTTCGTCTTGATCTTGTCGAGCATAAACTTGGCGGTAAGTTGGCTGCTTAACTACGCTCTGGTTTCTTTCTCCTAGAAAGTGTTATAATGTCAATTTGTCTTTGGGAGGATCTATTGTGTTTTGATCATTACCAATTCATTAGTCTTGAAATTTCTTTGGCTTAAGAAGGTCGGGCTTGTGTTGAGTCCATGACTCCATTTTGAGTCCAGTGTTAAACCACTGAGTTAGTTTTAATTATCGATGTTTATAGCAACCTAAAAGCCAGATAAAAAAAATGGAGTCTGGTCTAACGTTCGCTCCTCCCCCCTCAAAAACGAAATATGCTGACCCACACGAAATCGGCGCACCAGGTAAGTTGGCTCTGTTGCCACGGTGTTAAATTGTCAGACTGCAAAGTAATATCAATAAAAGATTAATTGCCAGAAGTGGGATAAGGTATAGGCTGATGGATATGGTTGTGTAACATGTTCATAGGTGGAACGAGCTGTATATAAAAATTACGGCTCGACTTCATTAGTTTCGAGGCTGAAACCGTCATTGGTTCTTAAAAGACCTTCTTTATTCTAAAAGAATAAGGTTGGGTAAGACTGAGGTAGAAGGAACGACTTTAGCTCATTTTTTTTATTTGGTAAAACAAATGCAGCGGTTAATTCAAAAGGTAAAAAATGACAATCCTCCTATTCATGAAGACGAATGGGAAGTTACTGTAGGTGCTCAAGACCTTAAGTCAATGTAAACTAGACCTAAGCGGAGGAATTTTAGGTAAGAGATGAGATAAATATCTAGACAGAGGTTGATGGATGAAAGGTGGTTTTCCTTTTAAACTAGGCTAGTCAGTGTTTTAGTTTCTCCAATTTGGGGGCTATTCGCCATACTTCGAACGGGGCATGCCGGGTTAAAATTCGTGAAATCCCGTAGTCTCTGTTGGTAGGCCACTTCTCTTTTCGGCTGCTGTCATGTAGCTCTAAAAATTGTAGGGTATTGTTCCAGAGATTAAAATGGGTAAAAATCGTCTATTCCACCAACACAGGCGAGTGGAGATCCTAACGAGCCTCAGGAATGGGATTCGACTACACAAGAAATGTGGGAAGGCAATGACACCTTGATTGACACTGTTCCTGCTGGATGCCGGCCCCCACTTCGCATACTCGATATATGGATTCCACCTAAGCATTGTTGCCCTGCAATGTTAGTCACTGTTTGTAATTAGTAGATATGGATTTTAATTTGTTTGTTCTGCATAAATTTGAGGATATGAAGATTTTTGAGTAGGATGAGGGCAAGTCATAATTGGGCTTGCTGTTGAGTTTGGATAGTTGTGAAACGGCTATGGATGTAAAGTGTAATATTTCTATTCACCCTGAACACAGCTCTAAGTGCGCAACCTTGTATAATGGAGATTGCCAGCCGTGGTACCAGAGCTCCTGGAGATGTGACTACAAGTACTTTGGTTACTGTCAACATCACAGGTTCTGCGTCTGCTGTGTCGGTAAGTTTTCCTGTGACTTCGTACTTTAACTTCTATCCCCGGGAAATCGATAATGTGCTAGTTGTTTGGTTACGTAAGTTAATGAACGTTTAGTCTTAATTTGCTTATACAATTTAGAGGCTATTAATTTTGCTCAAATTTCGTGTCGAACCAAATTCGATATAAATGAAACAATTGTTGCGTATGTTTTTCAGATTGTGAAAAAGGTGACAATAATTCAGTGTGTGGAAAGTTGGGTGGGGCTTGCAGGAAGAAGTGTTATACTTACGAGTATGAGAATTTAATGCAACAATGTCACAAGAAAGGATGCAAGTTAGTATGGTAACTTGTGTAATAAACAATGCTATACTTTTTGGTTTTTATTCGTGATTTAAATTTTGCATCTTAAAAATTTCTCGAACTCTTCCAGATGCTGCAAAAAATGTAGACCATCACCCAGGTGTAAGAAAAATAACGCTGATTGGACCGCTCGCTGTGTGAGCCACAGATGTTTCTGCTCTAAATTCTCTTACATCAGCAAAGATCCTTGCTACGGTGACGGATGCTTGTGTTGTAAGCGATGTAGAATAACGAAAAGGTGCAAACATGCTGGCGGCTACTGTATCAGGGCAGGAGAATGCTGTGCTCCAGGATACTCTCCCAAACGCTGCGGCTGTACGTCGAGAAGATGCTCGTGCTGTGTACCGGGTGAGTCTAGTGTTTTGTTTTGTTTCATTCGGTAGTTTACACGGCCTTAAAATGTTATTTTGTAAGGAATTAACTCGAATACGGTTTATATTTATGCGTAATACCTCATATTCCACTTGAGTTTCTGTGCGGTATATTGTTTGAACTACCAATTATATCTTGATATGGGGACCTACATTTCACATGTAATTTTCGTTTTCCAGATAAGAAGGCAGTTGCAGGATTCTGCTCACCGATTATTGTTGATTCATTCTCTAGTGGTTGAAGTCGTCGTCATTGGACTGAACTTTATCTGAGGCTGATGGTTGTATGTAAATTGACAAATGCAGTAATATAATATAATATAATACAATACAAGGTTTTGGTTTGCTTATCCGTCATCAAAGTGAATTGATTAGTGAAATTTAATGAAGATGCGGTTTGGAGACCTGATGTAATGCAGACGGTATAAAGTGATGACTGAAATTTTAATATGATCTATGAAATTAACAGAGCTTTACGTAGTGTCGGCTTGATAACATTGGTTCTAATAACTGGTTCAGTGCACACGATTATAGTATAAAATAAACAAACTAAAGTAACTTGCTTCTATATATTGTATACTATTAATTCTCCACTTACGTACAATAAATAAATTGTTGGTATTGTTCGGCAATGTAATTGAAAAAGGGGCTTGGCCAATTGGATGAGTTAATGTCTGGTTCGGTTAATTTTAATGAAGCCGTCATGATCGAGCACGGGTACAGTATAGTTCAATGGGCTTCAGTAATTTTGACCTGGCTTTTCCTCTACACTTATCCAGTAGCCTGAGCTAACCCTCGTCACCCCGGACACTAAACAAAGGCTGTCAGGCGACCACACGAGTTCACGCGCTGCCTTGGTGTAACGGACGAACATTTTCTGAAGTGACCCACGTAGCTGCGAGAAGAGATCGCGACCGACCAGGAAAGGAACCGATTGATTTATAAGTTTGAGATGCAAAACACATTAATACATCTCAAAGGGATGAAGTGACCTAAGCCATCCCCACCCCAGTCCAGGAATGTCTCTCTCAGGACTCGCATATATCCCCTAATATTTCATGTAATCGGTTATAGTACATGGTTATATTCTAGATGCAAAATTCCTTTATTTAATATCTCATTTATTTTCCAACTTTTAAACATCCACAAGGATGGGAACTAGATGCGCTAAGCGATCAAATATTTTGATTGTAGCTTCCTCGGTCTCGCGAGTCCTTGCATTCTACACCGAAACAGATGGTTATACATTCACTTTTACACTAAACGGCTACATCTTGCCAAGATTTGATCCTTCTGGGATTTTAACTTAAACTGTAAATTCCCTACTGAAGAATGTGAAGCTTCGTTTATTGTAAAGGGTGATGTAGTTAAATTCTTGAAATGCATGTGACTTGACCTGCAGACCCTCTGTGTCGATGTTTTATATTGTGACCGTGTAGCACACTAAAAGACCGTCAGATCTCACCCAGCTGACTTGCCCTGGATCACACCTCGGATCAAGACTTGTGCAACAGAGACAGAGCCTTTTATCTCGATGACCACATCCGCTACAGGTCCCTTCGCAACCAAGTCCTCCGCGAAATACGTACTGCGTTATTGTACATACTGGGGTGGTTGGTGGCAGTCATAGTCGGGCGCCGGTAGCTCGTAGGTGGTCGGCGGGTGCGGTACGATCGCCATGGTGTGTCGCCGGACAGTTAAAGCGAAGAGCAGTGTTGTGTACTATAATTGCTATGTGCAAAAAGAACCAAATGCAGAACATGGAATGGTGCAAAGAGTGGTTAAGTCGAAGAAAAGTATTGGGAAGTCATGCCACGATTTTACGTGGACTGCAGGATGGACATGCGCAAGACTTCACCAATTCAATGAGAATGGACCCCAACACCTTTTACAAAGTTCTAGCGAAAGTGGAACCATGTATAAAAAAAAAAGTACCAATATGAGGGAGAGTATATCTGCAGAGGCTGGTCCAGAAGCAACGCTCGTATTTCAACTGGGTGCACCTACACATCACTTCAGTATAGAACGAGGATATCCGTGTCCTAATACCTGCAACTTGTCAAGCCATGTATGAAGTACTCAAGGAAGATTACTTGCATGCGAGATTTGTAGTACATAAAAAATCATTGAATAAGGTTAGAATTGATATGCATAGACAGGAAGCTATGGGACTAGAGTGTGGAGAGCAGCAGGAAAGAACACGCACGAATGTCCTCATTACATAATACATAAACCATCTCCCGTTTATTGTCACGCCAATAATGTACATTGCATAAGCTTATTTGCTTATACACTGGACATCTGGACCGAGCGGGGAACATATGCAGTACGAATCGCATTTGCAGTACTTAACTCAGGTTTTACAAAGTGCTAGCATACGTTCTGTAAGTATCTCTGTTCATACCTCACCGACTTAAGGACCCCGAGGGCCGGATGAAATTTTCCCTCGAGTCTTGAAAGAGTGTAGGGAACAGATTAGCGGACCCCTCGTAAACTTATTTACAAAGTCATTAGACACCGGAGTTGTGCCAGACTTGTGGAAACAGGCAAATGTAGTACCCATATTAAAAAAGGGAGACTGAGCATCCGCGTCAAATTACCTGCCGATCAGTTTGACGTCAGCAGTGGTGAAATTTCTTGAATCAATTATAGCAGGTAGCATCCGATTGCATCTGGAGAAAAGCAAATTAATCTACGACTCACATGGGTTTACAAAAGGAAAATCTAGTCTAATAAATCTGCTGACGTTTTTTAGGAAAGTCTTCGAGGTAGTAGATAATGACGAAAATTACGATGTTATTTACTTCGACTTTAGCAAAGCATTTGACAGAGTACCGCATCAGAGGCGTCTGAGAAAAATTAAGGCTCATGGTATCGAGGGGAAAGCTTTAAATTGGATAAAATCATGGCTCACCGATAGAACGCAGAGGGTCAGCGTAGATGGCTTTAAATCTGAGAGGGGCCGTGTAACCAGTGGGGTTCCCCAGGGGTCAATACTAGGCCCACACTTGTTCATAATCTACATAAACGATCTAGATACCGGGATCAGCAGTGACATAAGCAAGTTTGCGGATGACACCAAAATAGGGGGGCAGATTAATTCAGGGTAAGATGCAAATGCATTACAGGAGGATCTAAATAATCTGCAGGGATAGTCTGAAAAATGGCAAATGAAATTCAACACCAGCAAGTGCAGCGTGCTTAATATTGGAAGAACAAATACTGATAATGAATACAGCCTTAACAACATCAACCTAGAGAAGTCGACTTGTGAAAGAGACCTAGGGGTACTTGTAAGCCCGGACATACGGCCTAGAAAACAGTGCGTTAATGTTCGAATTAAGGCAAACAGAGTATTGGGTTTTATATCTAGAAGTGTAAGTAACAAGAGTGCAGAGGTCTTATTGCAACTATATCTTGCGCTAGTAAGGCCGCACCTCGATTATGCGGTTCAGTTCTGGTGCCCCTATTATAGAATGGATATAAATTCAATAGAGTCGGTGCAGCGAAGAATGACAAAAATGATTCCAGGACTTAGAAACCTTCCATATCAGGATAGGTTAAAGAAATTTAACTTGCATTCCCTAGAAAGACAGAGTGCGGGAAGATATGATAGAAGTATTTAAGTGGGTGAAAGGAATCAATAAAGGGGATATAGATAAAGTTCTTATAATATCCGAGCAGGATAGGACTCGGAGCAACGGATTCAAGTTGGATAAATTTAGGTTTAGGAGGGAGATAGGAAGGAACTGGTTTACAAATAGGGTGGTGGACGAGTGGAACAAGCTTAGCAACTTTGTAGTAAATGCGGGAACTCTGGAAAGTTTCAAAAGGAGGTTAGATAGATTCATGGATGATAGAGAGTGGTAGTAACTCTCGACAGGAGCTGCCATGCACAGGCCAACCGGTCTATTGCAGACTCCTTATTTTCTTATGGTATGGTGGTCAGGTGTGGGGTAGTGATCAGCTGTTTTTGACAGTCACGTGAGATTCCAATAATAACACGAGTCTTATTTTGCAGGCTTGTGTAATGTTGAATATTAATGACAATATTATAGGAATGTCGGTTTTCCGGTTTTATCGTTTGTCGCTACATATCCGGCAGCAAACCACCAGGCAGGCGGTCCATGATTTCGCTGAACGACGGGCACGGGCAATCCGCTGGTTTGCCCGGCAATTTTGCCCGATAACTGGCATTTAGCTCGTGCCCGCCGGGCACTGCTCGATCGTGTGGACGGGCCTTTAAAGAACTCTGTGGACTAAACAATAAGACACCCCCCCTCCCCTTCCTTAGCCATCTCACCAATGTTGACCCAGCTGAGCAATCAAATAACCATTTCGCTACTATATGCCAGACGCTCCCCCGGCTTGACACAACCACTCTCCCTGCTTACCACCAGCCCCCTTTCCCACTGACTTAGTAGAAGAATTTGAAGTAGCAAAACGTCTGGACAAACTAAAGTTAAAACGCTCTACCACCCCTATTGACTTGCCAATGAAACTCTTCAAGGAGTTCTCCCCGGAGCTTGCTAAACCCCTATGCTCCATCATCAATGCTTCTCTCAGTCAAGCCAGATGCACAGCTGACTGGAAGACCTCTTATGTATCACCAGTGCCCAAGTCAACCTGCCCACAATCCTTAAATCAGCTACGACCTATTGCAATCACCCCAATACCCAGCCTAATCTGTGAAATTTTTGTGTTCGACTGGGCTTATGCTGATATTGCAGGAGTCGTAGACCCTCAGCAGTTTGGCAATATGAAAACTTCCTCCACCACTCACTGACTTGTCAGCTTTCTCGATTACATATACCGCCATCTCGAGAAACGAAAAACGTCTGTAGCTGTCGCCTTCATTGATTTCAGCAAAGCATTCGACCTAGCCGACCACAATTTAATCATCGACAAAGCTATTGACCTCGGGCTTCGGAGAAGTCTTACTTATACCATGGCTTACAGACTTTCTCAGTGACCGAAGCCAAGCTGTAGCTTCCGAGGGGCTGTCTCCACCTTTCAGTCACTCACCTGTGGCGTCCCCCAAGGCACCAAGATGGGACCACTCTGCTTCCTTGTGCTTATCAATGATGCCCTAAGAGAACCCCTGCTCGCTGGAAATATGTCGACGACTCCACTATTGGGATCATCGTCAACAATTCTGCTCCCAACTATACCGCCCTTCAGGATTTATTGAACAGTCTCCAAAACTGGGCCACCAACAACCACGTCACCATCAACCATACCAAGACCATGGTTATGCACATCAACCTCTCCTCTGACATTGTCCCACCCCCTTCCATTACTTTAGGTCCCAACACACTCCA